ATGTACACACACACACATATATATCCTTTTTTTTTTTTTAAGTCAGAAAGGCCCAGCTAGCTCCGGCAGCAGCGTACTGATCTGCAGTGTTCCAAGCCACATGGATGAGGCTGAGTTCCAATTCCAAGTCAAACTTCCAGGCACCCAAGATACTGACTAGCAGCAGGGCTGGAGAAAGGGGATCTCAGTGTCACAGACCTGGTCAAGAATGTCCGCCTGTTGCTCTCTTTCATGCATGCTCATGAACATAATAAACCAATTTTTTTTGGAGAGGTTTTTGCTATACGGTGCTTGTGCTTGCCAGAAAGGCCGAGACAGAGAGACCGAAAGCCAGAAATCACCCCCTGGGGGGACGGCCACACCACAATCACTTCTCCATTCTCCTCTCGGGATCTTGGGCACACATGAACACGTGCCCGGCGTGAGTTTAAGCCACTAGGTCCAAGACTTGAACCGCGGTCGACTACATGGGAGTCCAGCGACATAGCCATTATGCCAACTGCTGGTCCTAGTAGTAAATCAATTATTAAAAGATAATGAAAGAAAAAAAACAGAAAGTTCAGAGATGGTGTTAGGCCGAATTAGCATAATCACCGCCATGTTAGGGAATGCTGGGGAAGTTAGCTTAATCACTACCCTGTTGAGTCTTCAGGGACGGAGCCCACTTTGTTAGGGCCTCAAGGACGGGAACCAGGAGTCTGGGAACTCTCAGATAAGTGGAAAACGGGAGGGCCCAGCACCTCCGAGGCAAGGTCATCCAAATCCTTAGCTGAGAGCCCTTATCTAGACCTAAGCAGGTGGTGAGAGCTGGACCCTCGCGTCTCATACCCCCCCTTCCTTTGTGTGTTACAGTCTAGAGAACATCCTGAACTATAAAAGATCCCTTTACCTTAGGCTCGGGGTCCTTGTGAAGGCCCGCTGCAATGGGCTGAAACTTGGACCCCAGCTAGCTGGAAAAATAAAAGCCTCTTTTGCAGTTGCATTGTCGCTGTCTTTTCTGTGTCTCCATCAGTTAGACCGATCTCTGGACCCTTACAATGGGTGCCACCAAAACAGGGCAGCTTAGATATAAGGCTTTTCTAATTGTACAGATCTTACTGACCTTTCCATTAACTATGGACTTTATATAGGTATTTTAGAATTTCAGCTTATTGTCTCATTTTTACAGCTGAACTACTGAACCCCAAATGTAAGTCCAAATTACACATTTTACATGATCGCTGTTAATACCCATATAAACCTGATTACTACTAACCAGGCTTGCAATAAGTTACACCAGAACAGGGCAGCAGTGGAAAGAGTGGAAGGGCACTGGAACAGAAGTCACTGGGCTTGGCCATCCCTTCCTATACAGGCTGAGACACAGGTTACACCGTCCCCTCCCACTTAATCAGGCTGGGATGTAGCCCCCAGGACATATCTATGCAAAATAATTAACAAATGTAAAGACCCATCATTAGAAGAGGAAAAAAGAATCCGATACCACTTTCTAAGTAGAACTGGCACACTGAAAACTAAGAAGACCAAGGAAACCCCACCACGGGGCAGAAATACTCCACTTTGCTTCCGGGTAAGTACTATAATTAGGATAATTAGCCTAACTGGTGACAGCCAACCCACTGGATTAAAAGCTCCACCAACGGCACCACACCCACCACAAGACAAACAAGTGGGGCCACGACCTCGCTGAGTAACAGCTACACATCCCGCAACCTCACTTTAAAGAACAGCATCTTCCTGACTTTAAGGATCCCACCGTCCCGGTAGAAAGGAGGTTTAAAGCACTTGTTCGGTAGCCCCTTTCCTCTGGCGAGTACACTTAGGGACGGAGGGACACCCAGCTAAGAGCCTTTTCGGAGTGAAATTTCGAAGCACTGTGAACTAGCTAGCTATCCGCCAGTTTCCTAGGGCAGTGAAGAGAAATGAAGGCCTCTTCGCAGCCCAGAGCTCACCATTTTCCAACTGTTGATAAGGAGGCCACGCGACAAGTGTCTCTAGCCCTCCCTCCAAACATCAGACATCACCAGGCTCCACTTAGCAAACTGTTCCAGCTGGACAGTCTTTGGAAAGCTCAACTTTTAAGGGACTTTCCCCCAACCGATTCCACATCTAAAGTGCCTTTATGGAGCGGGGAAGAAGGGTCTAAAATTGGGTAAAGTGCACACTCTCTCCCCTCTTACGCAGCCCTCACATTGCCAAGAATTAGGCACGCCCCGCCAGCACCCAGAACGCGCAACACGAGCCCATCACGCCGAGGACTAGCGACCCACGCCCGAGCAGCTCACCTTCACGTGGTTCTCCACAGCCGCACGGCCCGCCAGCCTCTTAGCCTCTTC